ACAATCTACAATTACAATCTACAATTTACAATTACAATTTACAATCTACAATGTACAATTTACAATTACAATTGTACAATAAGAATTTACGATTACAATTGTACAATTACAATTTACAATTTACAATTATAATTTACAATTACAATCTACAATTACAATTTAAAATTACAACTCGTTTTTTTTCCATATCTATATTATCTAACACTTTCAACAACAATACTTTGAATTTCCCCTGACATAAATGAATGAAATACTAATTTTATTTGCGGTAAATTCAAAGCATTCTAACCTCACTTTAGAAACCTCCCTGACGAATCACAAACAACCACCAGAGGGCTAAAAATCAAAAGATCGATTGTTGTTTCCCACAAGTTATTTGTCAATGGTGGATTCTCAAATATCGAAAGGAAATTTTGGATTTCGATCAATTTCGATTTCGAGTCCTCCGCTGGAGCTTTCAGTAAGAGATTTCTAGGCCCTTGGATACTTAAATGCAACGTTAGTGAATATTTCTATTTTCACATACAGTGGCCCAGAAAAGTGTCCATGGCGAAATTAATTTAATTTTATCAATATCTCAAAAAAAAATGTATCTGTATGTAATCAAAGCACAGTTCTTAATCTTTCAAATGGGATAGATTCATGTCCAATAAAAATATTATTCTTGGAATAACTAAAAGAGGTCTCTAAGCGTTGATCTTTTAATTAGCTTTCGCACAGTGGTAGATACTAAAGGACTGAAGCTAATAGTATACATAATTTGTAAGATACAATACTGAAACGATTACTATTCTTTGTATAAAGAAATGTATCTGCAAATCTGAAAAGGTACTGTGACAACAGTAAAGCATTAGACTCCTAATACGAGTTTTCTTTTTATCATAGATTACATACTTATATTAAATACAACTTGTTTATAACTTGTTTATAGGTAGGAGTTTAATGCTTAACACACTTCTAAGTATGCAAAGTTCTCCATTTAAACTTCTTCATTATCTTAAATGATTTTTACAATAAGCTGATCCTTGGTGAAGATCACTTACAAGTTTGTTTAATAATCGAGAATGAACATTCTGAATACCATTTCCAAATCCTATTCCAAATTCCAAATTCTAAAGAGCCGCCACTGTACATTCTCTTGACTAATTAGAGAAACTTTTCCTTTATATACAAAGCTTACAGTGTTCTGTTGACCTTCTCACTGTTTCCCACTGCAAACTATCCTTTTATGTCTAGAAATGGGAGACACCGAATCGCAATTAAAGCGGCTTTTACTTCCGGCAGAAGAGACATTGTTCGAACAGTTACTAAGGTTCGGACTTTATATCGGCGCAGTATTCCAAGTTGTATGTTTATTGGCTATAGTGGTTTATCAAGCTGGTCCTTCAGATGGTATCGCTGCTTTAAAGGTATTTAAATGAGCAACTATTACAAGTACCAATAATTTATGGATATCAAGGTAATAACATTGTGAACTAATTGGAGGATGACCCAAGCGATGTGGAATGCTCTGAGAACAGTCCCCAGGTTACTCCTAGGAGACCTCATCGACCACGAAAACAAGAGAAGAAAAAAAGACGTTGAAGTACTTCCTATCCTCGCAAACTATTCATTATTTGTCTGTAGAACAGAAGAGATCTGAATATTCGCGCGGTCTTCTCCATAGGAAATGTTCAGTATTAATTTCATCGGTATCGTTTAACGAGTAATTTATATAATACGCATTTAAGTCTGATTTCTTATACTAATAATTAATTTTACAGTATCATTAAAATTGCGACTTTTGGTCGATTGGACTTGTAACGTTCTATGAATATATAAGGAATGTTTTTGATAATAAAAATACCAAATGCTTCTCAATTTCCTTGCAACACTCTTTGTAAGATAACTTACATATATTGCCAGATTTGTTGCAGATGCATATCTACATTGCTGTTTAGTGGCTAGTAGATAGAAGAAGAAAGAGAAATATTTAAAAAATAGCGACAATATTTGAGCTGTAACATTAGAAAAAATTATTCTTCCTACGCAGTGAGTGAGTAAGTTTTATGTATCAAAGTGCCAAGTCATGTAACTTGATTACAATACTTAATGTACTTGCATTTGTTCGCTCTTTACATTCATTCAATTCTTGCTTTACAGTACTTGTACATTTGCTTAGATGTACATCTCTCTTAGCTGCAATGAAACATAGCTAGAGCCCCTGGGAGCCGCCACTGTATCAGACTACCCTGTTTACACTCTCTGATGGTATAGTCGCTCTTTATATTCAATTAATTCTCGCTTTACATTACTTTTACATTACTTTTACATTTCCTTAGATATCTACCTCTCTTACCATTGTATATCGATATAATTAGCTCTAATTAAACATAGCTAGAGCCCCTGGGAGCCGCTACTGTACCATCCTACCCTGTTTACACCCTGATGGTAAAGTAGATCAAACTAACCTGCCCAATTCTGATCATTCCAGCGTCATCTGCAGATACCTCGTGGAACTTCGGCCTTGATGTCGGCCAACATCATCAGGTCACGTGACAATACTATATTGATACGTGTCGACGAAGGGAGCCACGATTCACTGCTCTGTGGCCAGTTGAGCTTACGCGGCGAGGTTTGCTCGTATCCTTTCTTTAATCGACTGTCCTCGCGGCTGTGTTGATTCCAGACATCACTGAGAAACAGCGTCGTCTAGAATAGTCCTCATCTCGGATTCAAAATGGGTTGTAAGTACATTGTATTTCCTCTATAAAGCCAGAAAATGTTTCTATTTACAACCCTCACCGTGATATATTAACCGTAACCTCGAATTCTCCACTTGTGCCACATACATATTGTTCAGGCCATCGAATCCTGGATTATCTCCATCTCCAGTTCCACCGTTAACACTATCTTGCTCATATTTTTCTTTGAGACTTCTAATAGCGAAGCAATACTCCAATAAGCGAAGTAGATTTATTAAAATTAATCGGGGGAACAGAAACTAATGGAAACGCAGCCTTGTCTTTTGAACGGATGCAAGCTGGTGTATATAGTTGAATAGAGACGGTTTTTGTAAGACCTTGTGAAATTCACTCCTGATTCGCTCCTTATGTTTGTAATCTGTGTGCTTTTCAGTCAAATTCCTCGAGGTGATAAAGCCGTTCTGCAGTATACTCCCAGAAATAGAGAAGCCACAGCGAAAGGTACGTTTATGCAGATCTATATCCTACTCCTATATTTACTTATACTCTTCGAGTCTGACATTTACAATCTGTCCAAACTCTGGCTCGAAACCTCTTCCTCTAACAGGTTAACAGCATGGATATTCTTCCAGATCCAATTTCGGGAGAAGGTACTATGGACCGCGATCACGCTGTTCATCTTCTTAGTATGCTGTCAGGTAAAAAATCCCCATCGACGCTCTTCGTCTGTTTATATTTTACACTCTCAACTAACCGAATGTATTCATAGATTCCCCTGTTTGGTATCATGTCATCGGACAGCGCGGATCCCTTTTATTGGATTCGAGTTATCCTTGCGTCGAACAGAGGAACCCTCATGGAGCTGGGAATCTCCCCTATCGTTACGTCTGGTCTAATCATGCAGCTGTTGAGCGGTGCAAAGATCATTGAAGTTGGGGACACTCCGAAGGACAGAGCACTTTTTAACGGCGCACAGAAACGTAAAGAAAGATACATTTCCTTTGCTCTCCAGTCACATTTCGTTCTAACGTTAATACTCTTTTACAGTGTTCGGTATGGTCATCACTGTTGGCCAAGCCATTGTGTACGTGATGACTGGGATGTACGGCGATCCAACCGAGATAGGAGCAGGAGTTTGTTTATTGATCATTATCCAATTGTTCGTTGCTGGATTGATCGTACTGTTACTGGACGAACTTCTCCAGAAAGGATACGGATTGGGAAGTGGTATCTCTCTCTTCATCGCAACAAATATTTGCGAAACAATTGTATGGAAAGCGTTCTCTCCCACTACGGTTAACACTGGTAAGTTTCTAATGTTTCCTCATCGATATGCTTGAAATTTTTGAATTTTTGGAATTACAATCTACCATTTTTGTAACTTGGTTAACTGTGCTCCGTAACACTTTTATTCCAGGGCGTGGTACAGAATTTGAAGGCGCTGTGATTGCCCTGTTCCATTTATTAGCTACGAGGCAAGACAAAGTTCGAGCTCTTCGCGAGGCGTTTTACAGACAGAACCTTCCCAATCTCATGAACCTGCTGGCCACGGTCTTAGTATTCGCTATAGTGATTTACTTCCAGGTAATGCTATCTAATTAAATCCAAACACGCCTAGAAGCTCGGATCATGAAGTTAATCGTTCCGTTATCAACAGGGCTTCCGCGTGGACTTGCCAATAAAATCTGCCAGGTACAGAGGCCAGTACAGCAGCTACCCTATCAAGCTGTTCTATACCAGCAACATACCAATCATTCTCCAATCGGCGCTCGTCTCCAATCTCTACGTCATCTCGCAAATGCTGGCCGTCAAGTTCCAAGGAAACATGATCGTTAATCTCCTGGGAGAATGGTCCGACGTCGGCGGCGGTGGTCCAGCTAGATCTTACCCCGTCGGAGGGCTGTGCTACTACCTGTCACCGCCAGAGTCCGTGGGACACATCCTCCAGGATCCTATTCACGCCGTCCTCTACATACTTTTCATGCTCGGATCTTGTGCATTCTTCTCCAAGACGTGGATCGAGGTTTCCGGAAGTTCAGCAAAAGACGTAAGTATTCTTTCTAATAATCGCTCTTTAACCTGCTGGCTTTCTTCTATTCGATTTACCCTCTTTAATCATTTCACATGTTTGAATTTGTTTAATCAATTTAAAAATAATATACCACCTTGTAGAGAATGGTAGGACGAAACTTCTTCGCATACATGGTTTGTTCGTACAATGTTTAGCTTCAGGAATAAAAATTGAAAAGTTAAAAGTTACATTTTTAAGTAAGTTAAATGATTAAAGTAATGCTAACGTGAACTTCTCCTAAGATACTCTGTCGACATGAAATGATTAATAAATAAATGAAATTGGTTTCCAGATCGCTAAGCAATTGAAGGAGCAACAGATGGTGATGAGAGGGCACAGAGACAACTCGATGATTCACGAACTGAACAGATATATACCGACTGCTGCGGCGTTCGGTGGCCTGTGCATCGGTGCCCTGTCCGTGTTGGCCGATTTCCTTGGGGCGATCGGCTCCGGCACCGGTATTCTCCTCGCCGTCACGATCATATATCAATACTTTGAGATCTTCGTTAGGGAACAAAGTGAAATGGGTGGCATGAGTACGCTACTCTTCTAATCTTCATCCCCCATAGACTTTAAAAGTGAACATTTTTCAATTCTCAAGAACTGAATAATATAATTTATTGTAAAGTAAGCCCACACGACGCTGTTAACGACGTTGATCAGTCGAGGGACTGGAAATGAAAAGTCTTCGACACGAATCGAACCGCACAGCTCTTGTTCCCCCTTTATTCTCTTCATTAAAAACGAACGCATTCATACAGAAACATATATGTATATATATACATCAGGATGTGTTATTTTAGAGCATTATTTTTATTTTTTCAAATGCTGATTGAAAAATTTACAGTAGATTATGAAACAAAAATTTTCTTTCTCCTTTCGAGAGTATTTTTCATGAACTAAAGAATATTTTAAGAAAATTGAAGTACGCAGTTTCGTAGAGCACAAGATTATCTACAAAAAGGTCTTACGAGGTCTTACGATTTTCATGAAATCGATATTTTCGGAGATATTCATTCTGTCAAACATATCTCAAATTTAAAATACAACTCAACATGTCAGATAATTTATGGATCTTCTTTTTCATCTTCTGATTACATTTATTAAAAATTACAAAAATATTTCCCATGCATGTCAAATGATCAATCGACCAGCCAAGTTTTATCAGTTTTTCAATCAGCCCTCAAAAAAAAAAAAAAAAAATTGTTACTCTAACACAACAAACCCTAAAATATACATATATACATATGTAACGCGACAGTCTTCTTGAAAGAATATTTTTCTTTTACATATACTTGTTACATACTTAAAGAATATTTCATTGTCCATCATGTATTGGATATCGTCATCGTCAACATTCATTTACGCGTCACGAAACGATTGTACCGTCTTTTATATATAGATGAAAGATTGATAACGATTCTACGCTGTGCCAATTAATACCGAAAGGCATTATCAAGCATTTTTGACAGAGCGTAGAAGTCAGCACTCGGTCACGACACGCGACACGAAAGCGCTCGAATGCGAATAAACGGAACGTTTCGGCGTCGAACGGTCCAGTTTCGCACGCATGGATGGAATATCTTTCATACAACGAGCACTGTACATAGAAAGAAAGTAATTAAATATTTTCAGCATTTTTTACTAGTGTTTTATGCTCCGAGCGACGAAGGAGCCACGCGAAACGCTCTCTTTTTCTCTAAAAGCGAGCGCGAATTAAAATCGTCAGAGACATTTATACGGATAATAAACCATCGCATAATATCTAATCATTCGTTCGGTTGGGTCGAGACGCTCGTCCAGAGTATTCGCGCAACTAGTTCGCTCATCATAGATAATACATCATTCCTATATTGATTAAAAGTTAAATTAATATTTGTTTCATCGTGTGTATTTAGGAGAATGTGCTTTTATAAAAACCGAAACTTCATAGTTTCCGTCTTCTCTTTCATCCTGTTCCTTTCGCTCACCTCGAACAGTAAGACGCAGAAAAAGTATGAAAGAAGGAAAGCGAGCTGCGTATTTGTGCAACGTATTACGTACTGTATATTATTTAGCTATATACGAATATCGGTAAAAGTTTTGTTTCTTATTTTATACGATACGAAAATGCTGTCTTTTATTTTGTACTTAGAGCTGTTATTAAAAATTTCCTCCAAACTCTACTCGTTGTTGTACAATTCCAACGCAATGAACTTGGAGAATCCCGTAGACTTCGAATAGATGTTTACTTTAGGGAAGATTAGCCAGCTTGTTAGATTCGATATTAGAACGTATTAACAAGCATCGAATACTAAATTTGATCAAATATCAACCCACAAAGCAGATATT